AAAAAAAAAAAGGAAAATGACAAATCAAACCTCAAGAAAACATGCCGAATAATTCCGACCTGGCCCAAAGGGCTGATCACTTAGTCTTACCTTTACCGCTACCATCGAATAGAAAGTTTGCCTGAACCAACAATTATGCATAACTAGCATGCACGTAGACGCCCAGACGCAGTGCAGCAGATATGGATAGGCGTACCTGTGCGCTCAGCTCGGTTAAGTATAGGGCGTGGTAGGTACAGTACTTTTTTTTTTTTTTTTTTTTCAGTACGGAGTGGTGTATGTGCACTTACAAATCCCGCGTGTATTGATTTTCATCGGTGCTAACCTAGCGTGCCTGCCTCCCCCGGGACACAGTCACAGTTCACAGACCGACTGTCAAGCCAGGTCGACAGGATCGATAAAGTACGGAAAAGGACTCCGTGGGCCGGGCCTAGATGATCCTTATCCTCCATGGCACATTGTATAGGCACGGAGTACATACAGCTTCATGACTCGTATGGTTTTTGACTTTTATATTATTGACCGATTGATTATTGTTATCGTGTTCGCTAATTATGGACAAGCATTGCTCCCCGAGTCCGTGCCCAAGTCTGAGCACATGATACGATGCATGGCTAATGAAATTAAACGAGGGGAGGGGAGGGGGCCAAACGTGCCAGCCGTAAGCAATAAGCAATAAGAAACTGGGCTTTGTTTGTTTCAGTTTGACACTCTGTTATTAGGTGATTTCGAATGCGCCTTGTTTATTATTGCTACATCATAGCATACCGTGACTCCGTATTCCACTATCGATCGCTATATGAAAATGGTGTTAGTATCTGCCTCGGACCCATCCAAGGCCCCAACCAAAGTGTATCTCTGGGGCTGAATGGCTTCGGAACACACTATACTAGATACGCACTAGTGCTCTCGCGGAATGTTCCCGACAAGAGCCTCCAGAACACACAGACACTAACCCAGACAATAGAGAGCGACAGGAGAACCAACCCCCCAAAAAAAAACCAAAAAAAAAAAAAAAGAAAACAAGAACACACTACGGGAGTGACAGATGGACCGTGAGTCAGTTAGTGGCAGACCGATTGTCCCCATAAAACTGCAGCTCTCGAATTCATTTTATGGGCACAATCATTGGAGGAAGCGATTCGTTAAGAACCTCAGTTGGCACTGCATTCTTGCATCCGAACTATTGATTATCGTCCCTGTTATCTCGGCTAGTGTGGTCTGTGGTCCTCTAGGTCTGGTCGAACCAACCCCGTGACATGATAACCCCGTGAGGCTGATTTCCGAACCCCGGTACTCCTTTTCCCCCCCCGTTGGTCTCTCCACTGTCCTTGTCCAGAGCTTCGGCGTCGGTGCTTCGCACTGATGGGCACTGATCACAATGGGGAAATCGGAACCGGGGGGAGAGCGAGAGGGGAAAGGCAAATGCAGCACTGCCCTGAATCTGTCCGAGATGACATATCAATACTGGCAGGGGGAAGAGAAAAGACCGAGGGAAAGAAAAAAAAGAACGACCCCAAATGAGGCACAACATACAAGGTAATAAAAAAAGAAAACAAGTGTTTCATATGCGGTTTTTGGAAAATGCAGAAGACTGCTAAAAATGCCAAATGCCAACAATTAAGCCCAGCCGTTTGCTATGGTTTGCTTGCTTTTCGTTTTGCTGTTTTCCTGCGTAATCACACGGCCGGACCCGACAACAGCCAGTGACGAGCGATGGGGCGGTTTTTTTTTTTTTTTTTTTTTTTTTTTTGGCAGACCACTTTGTATACGATACGAATGTTGGGTGCAAGACCACCTGTATCCTGTACTAGAGCCGTGGCAGTGATCGTGAACAGCCCCGGTTCCAACCCAACCCACTTATTATTTTATGTGTACTCCGGCCCATCAAGTCAGTTTTGAAATGCGGGTTATTGTACAATAAATACGACTAGGTCCCGATGTCTTTTCGAACCTAAAGGCCCAAAAAACCGACGGACGGCACATGTCACTACACTAGGGCTGCAGCCAATATTGAGGCAGCAATAATTCGTACATTGGACGAATCCACCGTACTTATACATTTAGTACTTGAGGCTCTTTTTTATTTTATTTTTAATTTTGCCCCAAAACATTTCTACATTTTACTAGCTTGATGCATACTACGACTATCTTTCGGATTTGCATCCCTCTTCCCCGACTTGCCTCGCGTTTCCTGTACGACTGCATTTGCCTCTAAATTGTTATATACATTACCACCTGCCACCACCACCACCACCACCAGATGTCTTATAGAAACATACCCTCTTCTCAGCCACATCGCCGGCCTCGCTCGTCCCAAGGTCCACCTTCGTATATTACTACTACCACACCCGCGGTTGAGTCACCGCTGCACCTCAACCCGAACCCGGGTTTATCGCAGAACCACCTCTCCATCCCCGCTCGGGACCCTTCGGGCTTCGCAGATCCAAATACTACTACTGGCCCTGTCCCCGGCATAGCGGGCGATTTTGGGAATCTCAATACAGTTCCGAGGGGTGGTGTTCGTGGCGCGCGCAGCTTCTCGTCTCCGTCGCCGGCAATTAGTTTGAATACGAGGCCGACTGGGTCGCCGTTTTTATCGCCGGAGGTTTATCCTACTGGGCAACAGTCTTCGCAGAGTCGTGAGCAATTGGCTGCGTCATCGGATTTTAGGTATACCACGACGAGACCTGTCGCGGTCGGGTCGGAGTACTTGTCGGGGAATATGGCGCACGAGGCACATAGTATGTTTTTCAGCGGTGCTGAGCTACTGTATTTACTGACGGAATAGACTGGAGTTGGCAAGGACGACCGTCGCATCCACATCTTCAGCAGGGACCTATGGGCTTTGATCAACCGTATTCACCGCAGCAATCGGTGCCGCCGGGGGGGTTTCCTATTGATTATGATGCGAGGCAAGGTACCCCGCGGAGTTATTATCAGTCGTCGCCGTATCTTTCGGTTCCTAGTCATGGGCTTCCTCAAGGGGCCCATCATCCGAGGAGGTATGCTTGTTACTTAGTATAGTACGGAACGAGAACTGACGAGGGTAGTGTTTCAATGTCGTACGCATATCCCAGTAGTTCGGTAACTGGGACGCTTCCATCCATGTCAGACCAATCCTTCCTGCCCTCGTGCGTTGCACTACTTTCAATGAAAAGGATATCCTGACTAACTGCTGCAGATCACCCTCATACTTCGTCCACCAACCTGAATACTACCTCCCAGAATCCTCACTTCCGTGAGTCAGATCTATACCCCAACCCAACGATCAAAACATTAACAAACACACTTTTAGATCCCACACCCCCTCGATATCAACCAGCCCACAATCCCAACACCCACACCCAGGCCCAGGCCCAAGTCCATACTACACCTCTCCCTCACCCGCCCCAACAGCATCCGCATCCGCATCCGCATCCTCATCAACCGACCAAGATCGCCAGGTGCGAGTTATAAGTTTCCGCCCCAAGCCCCAATGCTGGGAACACGGCTGCAACGGTCGCGAATTCTCAACATTCAGTAACCTGCTTCGCCACCAGCGGGAGAAGTCGGGGGTCGTGGCCAAGGCTGAATGCCCAGTATGTGGCGCAGCGTTTACGCGCACGACGGCAAGGAATATTCACCTTGCGCAGGGGAAGTGTAAGGGGAGGGAGTAGCTCTACTTGATAGAGAGATGTTTATGATTGGGTGAGGGGGACATAATGAGGATTAAGATAGGGTCTGGGATCTATTTGGGCTGACTTCAACCGGTTCAACACGTGCATCTTGGTGTTTGGCGTTTTACGGCATGGGGATAATTGTTGCATTGTTTATATTGCATTTTGTACAGGGCCTAGAGCTTGAATGATACCATAGTCTATATAGACACGTTTACTATGCCCATGACTCGTAACGCAGTCCACGGCCGAACCAGGGACCTCTATATTCCATATAAAATGACACTTTTTTATAACTTCAATATCTCAGCCACCAATAGATATAAGGGCTTATTTATAAGATAAGGGTATGCATACACACTCTAGAAGGTATATTACTCCATTTAACGATGTGACGGTTAGCAGGCGGCCGAAAAGGGCTACTTCGGCGGCCGTTTTAGGAGTCCTGCTAACCAACCCCCCCCCCC